TGACGTCACGGGTGAGCAAGCGCGATTCTTATGCTATGTACCAAAGGCGTTTCGGTTAAGTTTACTACGCGTTTTCCACGACGAGCATGAACACATCGGTATAGACAAAACTACTGATCTGATCCTGGGACACTTCTGGTTCCCCGGTCTTAGACAGTTTTTCGCGAAATACGTCACGCACTGCGTAGTGTGCATCGCGCATAAGCAAGTTCCTCGCGCACCCTTGCAACCAATATCTTCTTGGGAAAAGGCTCCGGTACCATTCGAAACAATACACGTGGATGTACTCGGACCACTGAGGGAAAGTGATGGCCATAAACATGTGCTTATCATAATTGACGCGTATACTAAGTACTGTTTGCTCTATGCCTTACCAAGGCAAGACTGTAGCGAGTTAAAGCGCGTAATGACCCAAATCATTTCTCTGTTCGGTACTTTTAAAAGACTAGTGTGTGATAGAAGTCGTGTGTTCGATAACCATGAGTTTATTAATTGGATTTCTAATTATGGAGTTGAAGTGCATTTCATTACTCCCGAAATGCATCAAGAAAATGGACAAGTGGAACGCTATTGCCGTACAGTGTTAAACATGATTAGAGTTGAAGTAAATTATAATGAAAATGATTGGTCGAAGATATTATGGAAACTGCAATTAGTTTTAAACGTCACTAAACATAGGACAACTCAATATTCAGCACTAAATCTTCTTATTGGCACTAATTCCACTACACCTCTAATAAACGCCTTAATCAAAGATATAACTTGTGAAGGTTCAAATCCAAATCGTGGTGCAATTCGCGAGATTAGACGGCAACGTGCAGAAGGACTTATTCGCGAAAACAAAGAGAAACAAGACTCTTATGTTAACAAAAATAGGAAATCGCCTAAAAAGTTTGAAGTTAATGATTTGGTCTATGTGATTAAGAGCTATGTGATTAAGAGCTATGTTGCTATGCTATGTGATTAAGAGTCTATGTGATTAAGAGCTATCAAAGCACCGGAAAACTTGATAGCGGTATGAGAGGCCCTTATAAAGTAACTAAGCTTCTTCTTAACGATAGATATGAGGTTCAATTGTTAGCCGGCGCTTACGGAAAGACTAGTCAGGCAGCTGCAGCATACATGGTGTTATGGAAGGGTGAATGGACACCCGAAACATGTGCTGCATTTTTTGAAGGCCTCTGGAATATTGGAGTAAACAAAGGCGCATATTATGTCAAGTGCCTTGTGGAGCTCGATCAGTTCCCACGTATTTCTATATTTTTTGCTATATTTCTTATCCAAAAGTTAAAACTATGTTTGTGATAAGAATGTGAACCCAAACGGGACATAAATTATTACATAAACCACTTAATTTGCAGTATTCTCGACTCTCGACTTAAACTCACCCAAAACTTACCTTATCGGGTCATTTAAGTGAGGCATGTTATCGTAGAGCTTGTGGGGTGAAAAAAAAATGTGTCAAGAGCTATGTTATTTTTATGGATTTATGTTAAATATGTTTTAAGTGGGTAAAGTAAAATATTTGTCGAATAAAGGTTTGCTTTTATGATTGTAACAACTTATGTGTATTGAAGTAGGAGGAGCTCGATTACATCAATTTCAAAATAGAATTGATAATGTGTTACGAAGGGAGCTGTCCTGATTCGTATGTAATTCGTTAGCTTATTTTATAATGACTCAAACGATATATGCATTGTTTATAGCTCTCATACGGGACTTCTGCAGAAATCGCAAATCTGATTACACGTACCGCGATCGCGCGAGTTCCTTCAGAGGTGCCGCGGCGAATGCGCTTGGTCGTGTGTTGGTGCTGTGACAATCGAGAAGATAATCTTTCCCTATTCTTGAGCTAGATTATGTACCAAACAAGCCCGTGTTTATTGATTTTGACTACGTTACGTGTTGTGTTCAGTGGAAGAGACCCGTATAAATCCTGTGCGCATGGTATTGGGTTGACCCTGACACTGGTGGTTTCTGGGGTGAGTCGGTGGCGCAGCCGACAACAGACCTGTGTAAATCCAGCCATTATTAGGTATCTGGGGTGACCTGCTAGAGACTGATGTAAATCCTGTTTGCACACGCGAGTATGTGCGGGGTATTCGGTTGCGTGGGAAGAGACCTGTGTAAAACCTATGTGACTTGAAACGCTTTTGTGTGGCGTTGATAACTGTTCATGTTGACTGTTTTGACTGACTGACTTGTTTGGCTAATTGGGTACATAATCTGACGCTTTTATGAACTATATGAATTTTGATCAACTGTTAATACGCGATATAAATAAGTGTCTCTTAGATTGTGTGTATCTTCTCAGAGATCGACGATGGTGACGTCGAACAACCGCGGGACGCGGTGAGTGTTGCTGAGCCATCCACGAGTTCCTGCTGAGGGCTTCGAGCACGCAGCCCCGTCAGGAGAGGCCGTGTTAGAAGAGAAGGTCGGACGACGCCGCGCCGGGCTATATAGGAGGGCGGCTGGCGTCACTCGCCCTTTTTTGCCGACAGTCATCACGGAGTGCGGAAGCTTTGCTCGAATACTAGCGTCATTATTTTGAACCTTGTTTTAAGCTTTTAAGTTAGTTAATATTTGTTAGGCCAAAGGCCATTAAAATATTTTAAATAAAATCAATTCGTGTTTCTATTTGTAACAATATTATAATTAAAGATTTCAATTCACAATGTAATTTACATGTAATCATAAATCAAATTTTTTATTATATCTATCACGAAAATAAAATGTAAAAAAAAGTAAATAGAGAACATTTCTTTTTTTTTCTTAAAATATCGGGGGAGGTGTAGTGTATGTGCCTTCACCCTACTAGTAGTATAAGAAATACATGTACTTTTAAGTTTATTGATCAGTATAATTATAGACTTCAACTGGGAACCACGTCTTCTATTTATTCAACACCTTTCCGACATTACAATATATATATTGGCCCTTTTCTTTAATATCTTTAATTTTTGGTCCTTTTTTTTTTTCATTAAATTTAAGCATGTTGTGACAACCTGTAATCTGTAGTTCAATAAGCATAATGTGTAATTCAAAGATAGAAATCAATAAATAGTATATATTGTACTACTGTAGGATGTCCTTTAAAATAAATAAATAAATAAATATGTTAATTGTAGTAATGTATTGGAATAGAAGAGAGGAAGAGGTGTTCTTGTGCCAATTACAACAAACTTTAAAATACTTAAACAATAAATACAATAAATATAATATTATCATAGCCGGGATTTCAACATGGATATATTAAAACCTAACAATAAAATCTCTGATTTTCTTAACTTAATGTTAGAATATAAATTCAGCCAACATTTCAAAACACCAACTCATACAATGGGAACCACATTTACGTGTCTAGACCTCATATTTACGAACTTTAATAATAAATATTGAAATACTACCGTAGAAGAACTAGGGTTTTCTTTTCACTCGGCAACTATTATACAGCTGTAAAATACTCCGACAAATTAAATAACTAGAATGGTACACGGAAAAGCGTATTTATAACAAAAGTGCAATAACACAGTTTAAAACACAATAACAATTAATAGATTGGAACGAAATAATAGACGAACACAAAAACATAAATGAAAATTACGATATGTTCCTCGATAAGCTAATAACCTTATTGAACCAAATCATTCCGAAACGACGAATCAAAATAAAATCAAAACCATAAAATTATTGGTTAACAGTAGGAATAAGGAAATCGTGTAAAAATAAAAGATTGCTAAAAAATACTTACAACAAAAACGAATGACACAATACTGAAACTACATTTTAAAAAATATGCAAAAACGTTAAAAAAAATAATGCTAAACAAAATTCAACATATTAATATATTAATACATTCAGATAACAAAATCAAAACTATGTGGCAAATAATAAATGAGAAAACAAATAAAAGAAAAGCAAAGGAAAAGCGCAATATAAAATTAAAAGTAAATGATGTGATAAGTTCAGATCCAAAACAAGTCGCAAACGTGTTCAATAACTATTTTGCGTCGATTGGTGAGTTCAACCCTGATCCAGCAACAGGCAGCGGCGTTCGCGGCCGCCCTGTTCTTCAACCGACACAAAACACTATGGATCTGAGCCCAGTCGATTGTCCCGAAGTGTATAAAATTGTTAAAAGCTTGAAGAATAAAAGAAAACACGGCATAAATGAACTTTCACCTCATTTAATCAAAGAATGTGCAGACGAATTAACCGTAGCGTTGACAATATTAATAAATCAAACCTTTAACAAAGGCACCTTTCCAATACCATTAAAGAAGACAATTATAAAACCTGTTCATAAAAAAGATAAAAAAACCGATCCAAGTAATTATCGCCCTATTGCCCTTTTACCGACTGTATCAAAAATTTTCGAGAAGGCCATTAGTAACCGTGTTACTAGATTTTGTGAAAAATACCAGATATGTGATGATTGCCAGAAAGGCTTTCGAAAAAACCGATCCACAGTTTTAGCGCGAAGCTGCTGAAAAATATAAAATTCCTCGAAGTTCAATTATTTTAAAATTAAAAGCAATACGAACAAATAAAGTTAGACAACCAGGCCGTCAGCGTATCTTTTCTGATACCGAAGAAACTGCTTTCATCCAGCATGCAATCGAAATGTGTAATTACGGTTTTCCTATTACCGTTTTTGATTTAAGGTACATTGTAAAAATGTATCTCGACCGAACAGGACGTAAAGTATACCAATTCCAAAATAATTTACCTGGCAAGACTTGGGAGAATATTTTTCTGTGACGCCACAAAATGAACTATCTCAAAGATTTTGTTCTAATATAAAGAGGGTGAGTGCAGCTGTAGACGACGAGCAGCGACGTATTTTGAGCATTTGAAGACTGAAATTCAAGGAGTTCCAGCCGAAACTGTTTATAATTATGATGAAACCAACCTTGTTGACGAACCGAGTAAGAAAAAAGTGCTTATGAAGCGTTCCAGAAGCTATAAAAAATTCAACGAAAGCAGCCGTTAGTTTAATGATATGTGGCAATGCTGCTGGAGAAATTTTACCACCTTACGTAAACTACAAGTCAGACAATATGTGGAGCACGTGGACAGAAGGTGGGCCACCTGGCACTCGTTACAATCGGCCAGAGTCCGGTTGGTTTGATACTAGTACATTCGAGGATTGGTTCTTTTCATTGGTTCTGTCCACTTTACGTAGGCAAGAAGGGAAGAAGCTTCTCATTGGGGACAACTTAAGTTCTCATATAAATATGGAAGTTTTAAAGGCATGCAAGTCTCATAATATCGCATTTGTGGCTTTACCACCAAATAGCACCCACCTTACACAGCCTTTGGATGTGGCCTATTTTAGGCCTCTTAAACTGCGCTGGCGTCAAATCTTAGACCAATGGAAGGAAACACCTGAAGGGTAAAGACTACCCACTATTCCTAAAAACACGTTTCCTACGTTGCTAAATAAGCTGTGGGAAAATATCATGGACAACTCAGCAAATAATCTCAAAGCTGGCTTTAAGAAAACCGGTATTTTTCCGACTGATGAAGCTCCAGTATTACAACGCTTACCTACGTTTAGACATCCAGACGCTCCACTTCAAGACCCGGTACTGGTTTCAGAATCATTTATACAATTTTTAGAAAATAAAAGAATAGGAGTGGTGGAATCAGGCGGTAAAGGACGAAAGAAGAAGCTCAATGTACCAGCGGGTAAAAGCATATCTGCAAAAGATATACAAATACAGGCTAGCACATCAAGAGAACCTGCGAATTCTATTAAAAATAAGACAGCAAAAACACCTAAACGAAAACTTAAAAGAAATATCAAAGATTCTTCGAGTGAAACCGATGACGAAGGTGAAATTCAGTATGCTTCAGACTCGACCATTAATCTCTCGGATGAATTCATCGCAGATGAATCTGCAGCGGCTGTCGTTGATATCCCGAATGCTACGCAGTTTATTCCCAAGCCAGACGATTATGTTTTAGTAGAATATGAAGGCGAACAGTGGTCGGGGCAAGTCAAGACCGTTGATGATGATGGAGCGTTTGTTAGTTGCATGAATCGTTGTGGATTGTCATGGAAGTGGCCTGAGAAACCGGACTGTATATTCTATCCAATGGATAAGATTATTTCGACAATCAAAACCCTATCAAAATTAGGCACGAAGCACGCGTTGTTTCGATTACCGGAACTGGAGTATAAATGAGGTCAACCAAAAAAATAAATAATTATATGTACCTACCTATAAACCTATTAAGAAAAATATGATTGATTTCATTTCATTATTGTTTCTTATATACGAAAAAATTTCATTGTCTTTAATATTCCAAAAATAATAATAATTCTTAAAGTTAAATTTTAACGAATTTTGACGACTTTTGTACAAAAAAAAATTGATAAATAAACATATTTCAATTCTTACTAATTACAGTTCTTTAATTTTATGCTTTCAACTATGATCCAGAACGCCACAATACGCATTTTTAGTACAAATAATAATCCGGTCTAAAGTTTCCAATATAACAGGCAACAATGGTCCAAATTGTGATAAAAAAAAGAGTTATTTGAACTTTTATTGTTTTATATTTAACATCGATTAGTTAAATTATCACATCTTACTACATCTAAAAACATTATCACATGTGACATATGTAATTCAATGAATTAGAGGGGAGAGCACAAACTTATGATCTGAAATATCCGGACCATAGTTGTGTAGTTTTACGGTCCCCCACACTAGTATTTTCTCCTGTATTGTGGAGGCAATTTACAAACACAAATTACACAAGGACAAACATCCAGACCCGGAACAATTATTTGTAGGCCATACAAATACTTGTTCCGTGCGGGATTCGAACCCGCGTCCCCCAGCGCAGCAACTCATTGCTAAGCTACTGCGCCACGGAGCCGTCTAACAGAGGCTCATGATTGGTGGACTCATTTGAACTGTCTAATCGGTTATCGAGATTTCACCTATAGAAATAACAAGAGCGATACATCTAAGCCTCTTAATTATACAGAGAAGCACACATTTAACACTAAACCCAATATATGTATAATCAGCAGTATAAGTAACTACAAGCAATCTTCGATAATAAGAAACAATCTCATGGAGCAGAGCGCCGCATGCTGTCACTATTGCACACCAGGTGTTGACATAGACCAGCTGTCAAGTGGCTAGCACGAGAAACTCGTTAACTTCACTCTAACCGATTATTGCATACTTATGATAGGAGGTACTGATATTAACTTTCCAAAAATCATAAAAATATTGTATATATGTTAATTTTTATGCCCAAATTTGGTCATTTTGAACGCCATCCAATTGCGTTCGAGCTGGCGCGTCACCCGATGGTATGTAGGTGAGATAAACGCCGCCAGGTGGGGCGGCGGTGTGCGGCTTGTGTGGCTCGACGCGTGGGCGAAGGAGATGAGTAGCTCGCTGGCCGCGATGCGGTGAATCCGCGTATCTCGATTATCGCGGCCGAAGTACACGCGACCGTGTAGAGTCCAGATAGTTAGATTTAGTGCGTGTTACTTCACTACGTGGATATGTGAAGTTTGCAATATTTAACTTGTTCGAGTGATGCGGAATTGTGCACGCGCGCGTCTAGTAGATATACGGTCTAGAATTCGAACCGCGCATTCCTTGGTCGAGAGCATCACCCGGTTGATGAATTTTGAACTACTGTCCGTACCGTGTCGGGTATCACGTGTTCGATTCTACGATGAATGTGGAATTAGACGAGTTTAAGTTAGTTAAATGTACAATGAAGCTAATAGACTGAAATAGTGACAATGAAGAAAGAAATGGTCCAGCGGTGGAGCCTGCTGGAGCGATGCAGCATTGTGGGGCAGCCTGGAACTCGGCCGCTGCTGGTGGCCTAAGCTGGTCCAGGTCTCAGACATTTACACATCACTAAACACTACTTGCCATGCACCTCACACCCACTTACGGCCTGACCGAGCCTTGGGGCGATCTAAGAGTCGGAAACGGGTACGTACTATATTTCCCTAGTCTTCTCCCATATAGCTTAGTATTATAGGAAATTCTTCCAAATGGCCATTGGGCCCGACCTGCGTCTGCCCGTCGAGGAAGCTGCTATGGGCCCCAGCCAAGACGACCTTTGCAGGAGCAGCTGTAGGCCGTAACAGTTAAAGAAATGCATTTTGGCTGTACAACACACAAACATTATTATTTGGTCACCGACATAAATATAGTTGCTGACTCATATTGTAGAAATGAGTCCAGAGGAGGGGTCTGTATTTATGTTAAAATAGTATGGATTTTATTACACTTCCCTGTATAAATCAATTAAGCTTAGATAAATACCTTGAATGTTGTTGTATACTGTTGCCAGAATTAAATTACATTATTGTTTGCTGTTACAGAACTCCAGACTCAAGTTTTGAAATATTTATAAAAACATTGCATTTGTTATTACATAGAATTACTGTACGTTCAAGATATATGAAAAAAAAAGTAATAATAGCCGGTGACTTTAATATTAATTTACTTGAAAATAATCCAAAATGATTACTTTTAAAAATACTATATTAAAATATAACTTAAAACTAAAAATAAATGAACCAAGTATGAAAACAATAAAATCGAAAACTTGCATGGACAATAATATCATAACAAATTTTAAAGGTTGCTGCCCAAAAGTTTTACATTTAGGCTTATCTTATCACTCTGTACAATACATAAACGTACTTATAGCCTGTATTTGTTAGCCTTAGTGCTGCACTGCCTCTCAATAATGTTGACTGAACCTTAAGGTTCAGTGAGTATAGCAGTGAAGCAGTTTGGCCACATCAGTCTGTTTCCATCTTCGAACCTGCTCGGTTGTCTACGGACCTAAGTTAAATTCTAACCAATTTATAAGATATAATCCATTTATACTGTAATTAAATATTAGTGTTTTAAATAATTTTTTCTTAAAAACTAATCAGGCCGTCTCCGTATAACATTGTGGTGGCTGTGGTGGGGATACAGAAATCCCGTGTCAAGTGAAGTGGAGTCGCTCAGCAGACTCGCTCCGTATCCTAAAGTCTTATAAAACTAAATCTTATTCTGTGTCACCCTGGCGCGTCCTAGTGAACTCACAATATAGTGCAAGTGCTATACTCATCGTTACGGCCTGGACGTCCATCCTATCATGGAGACTCAATTTATTCCCGGAAAGGAATTCACATACTTACCAAGGAAGACCAGTGATTGCACCCCGAACCGCAATCATCTGCTTCCGTCTACATACATACAGAAGCGAAAATCACCTAGAATAATTAACCTGCAAAGCATCCATTGTCATAAAATAAATATCGTCGGAAATTTAGATAACTCGAAATGCATCGTGTTCCCTTCCAGTGCGCTACCAAAGACGCGCTTATCCATCAGAATGTTCCCGCTTATCGTGTTTGCAGCCGTCGCCCACGCATTGCTAATACTGTGAGTCGTTGGTCATTATTTAAGTCTAGACTTTATAAACCAGAGCTACTCAACTTTTGTTTCTTTTATTAAATTGAATTTAAATGTTTGAAAGTTTAAATAGATAGATTAAGAATATTTTTATTATTTGTAGTTATTTTATGTTGTTGTTGCGTATTCCTTAGATTGTGTTGATCGATATATTTTAATATGCCAAAAGTGGTCCAAGGGTCACCAAGGCCGGCACTGCCACTACTGCAATGACCGAGATGGATTTAAATACCTTATTCAAATTCGTTAAACCATATGACGGTAGTAGGGAAATTGTAAATTCTTTTATTATTAATTGTAATAATGCTTATAAATTAGCCTCAGAATCTCAAAATTTTATTTAAGTACATCATTAGCCAACTCCACGGTAAAGCAGAAATTGCTTGCTCCATAAAAGTTTAAAAACTGGGAACAGCTCAAAGATTTCTTAGACACAATTTAGTGAACGTAAACAAAAACGTTATTTTTACGTGGTAGAGCCATGCTGCAGCTATATTATGGTTGTAGCACGAATGGATCGGCTCGACCGGGGAAGGACCACGCTCTCACAGAATACCAGCTTAAAATAGCAGCTTAACGCTGCTGTGTTTCGTATGGTGAGTGTAGAGAACCGGAGACCCTTTTTACTGGAAACGAGGCATTCCATCTTAGTCCTCACGGGTGACAACGCATCTGCATTTTGATTCTTAATCGAAGATAGATGTAGATGTCTATGGGCCACAGCAACCACTTAACCTATAAAAAAACACTATGCTCATATTCTCATCGAACTACAAGAAAGCAAGCAAAGCCCACACGATAATCTCAACCAATTCGCATTCCGCATAGAAACCTGTCTTTCACAACTATTAACAGAAAATATCCTTATGTAATACTAAATCCAAAGAATTACCAGGTCGGCTTACGGCCATGGAGGACCTTGCCCTCCATCA